TTTTTTTTTTTTGCCAACGTGAGCTGTCACTGAATTTGTGCTGTCTAGGACAAATCTCTATTTGTTTTCGTCTGTTTGTTTCCTGGCTGACTTTGTATGCACTCATACCACTTCTAAATTTCATTGAGCACTGTACCAGCACATGCAGGCACCATGTCACACAGCCGAAGAGCAGAAATCATCTAATTTGCTGTGGTACTAACTGGTTTCTCTTACCACGTGGAGACGGGGGCATCAAGTAGAAAACCCAGAGCGTCTGTGAGCGCAGTGATTACAGAACGCTTTGAACCAGACTGGAAACGGCTGACACTGACTCACACTGCTCTCAGCATCTGAAACACAGGGCTGAAATCATGAAGAACACAATCTAAATAAGCAGTCGTTTCAATGACAGATCAACATTTATATCTTCTCTCATCTGCTTTAATCTTATTCAGATTGTATCTATATTAGTTTGGGGCGTAATTTAAAATTGAAAAATTGCAGTGTAAGGACTGTGCCCAGTATCAAATCTTTTGTAGGAGTGATAATCTATCATATCAAAGTTTTTATTTCACTGTAATTTGTTTTTGCATTTTAACCATGAAACTACTTAAAAAACATATTAATAAGGCCAGGCATTGAAAAATTATAGGGACTTGTAGGGTGAGTTTGAATTAGGGACATTTTAATATCCTTTTCCTTATGTCTGTGATGCAGTCCGAGGCTTGGCTGTGGGGCAACTCCAAACCCTGCCAAGTGTTTTATTTTGATAGATAAATAAAGATGTAAAATTAGCATCTTAAACACTTATCCTCTCATGCCCGGGTCTGTGAAAGGTGACATAGTGTGATCAATTACGCAAGTGAAGTTAAGTGAAGAGCTGTAGTTGGCGGGTGAACTGATAGTCAGGCTTGTGCTGCATGCTGCCATGTATTTGGACTAATTTAGATGGAATTAGATGGATTATTTTATTAAGTGTAGAGTTACATAAAAAAACACACTTTACACTCACTGTCCCTTATGTGGTGGCATAATTTTGTGCGTTTGACTACACAGAGCTGCCGTCTAGAGGGAGTACTTCTTAAGAATCAAGTCTGTCTTAATACAATAGTCACATGCCCATATGTACTTTTAAATAGGTATTGGTCGCTGTAATCTTTCCTTTGGCCCATTCTGGCAATGAAGTGATCGAGCCTTAGCACAATTACGCTGTGCGCCATGGGGGACAAAATGCAAACCAAAGGTCAGTGGAAGCTAACATGAAACCTCAATAATCTGATTTAGATGAAGTAGATTTCTTCCAAAGTCTTTTCAGTGAGAAATCTGAACCAAACGCTTTAAGTTAGAAATGTTCATTGTCACTGAAGCTATTTTTGGCTGAATCATTCATTTTATAAAGACCTGCAGGTTGGTCTCAAATTCATGTTTTGTACCACATATTTATGATTATGTATTTATTTATTTTTTTGATTGCCAATTGATGGCCACTAGTACCTGAATGTTTTTTGAAGTGAATGTAATTTGGAATTAAGGACTGTGAAAGGCTTGACAGACTTCCAAATTAATGAGTGCTTGGCATTTGCTTCTTTTGTCTCACAAGAATGATTTTTTAATTTCCAAGGTGTACATTCAGCAAGGTTTACAGAAACCGTGAACTGCTGATTCAGTTCCTTCAGTTTGACTTTGGTTTTCTTTACTTTTTATGTTATGTTTACTTTTAAGTTGTGTTTTTGTTTGTTTCCAAGCACCCATTTTTTACAACTCCCAAACCTATCCCCACTGGCCCTCTTTCCAATATTCTTACAATGTAAGATTTCTAAGTCTTAGTAGACATTTCAGTTTTAGGGGACCATGGTTGCAGAGCTCACAGTCAGAAGAAAGAAAACGTCTTCAAGACTGGCATTTTCTTCCTTAAATCCTATGACATTTTTTTTTCCCAGTTTCTGAATGAGAGAATGAGCGCTTCTCAGAGAGGGGCCAACCAAATAAACCCCTCTTTGGGCCTGGAGCCACTAATCTGTAATTTAATTTCAGGCGGGTGTCTGGGCCATGAGGACACACAGCAAGGTCAAGAGCTACTGTACAGAGAGATCTGCGCATTTGGGCACAGCCTGGGGTTTGATCAACAGTCTCATCCAGCTTAGGAAGAGGACATAGTATGTGTGCGTGCTCCGGTGCATGTGGGTGTGGCTGTGTCGGGGAGGTATTTCTGCACTACTTACACAAGTCAGACTTGATGCAAGGTAGCTATTTCGCATATGACAGCAACAAACAATCACAGAGAAAATCCATTATTCAAAACAAGTAAAATGTTTGGGATGACTGAGCATCTGCAAACAGAGAGGGATTAGCCCTAAAACAGGACTGCGTCTAACTGGGAACAATTCAACATGTCAGTGTTGATCTGCATGTAAATGAAATATTTGTATTACTTTGACCATAATTCATGTTTTACTCATTATGTAGAATAGTCTAGTCGGCAGATAAATCAACTAATGGAACAGTGGATGGATGAATTTGAACAGCATGGCTAATCCTGCGGGTGAAAAAATGTCTGTAATAAACTCGACCTTGTTCTGCTTGAACGAGCACAAAGTGGCTCCGGGAATGGGACCAATAATTACCAATGACCAGGCAGTTTCACCATGTCTCTTTAATGTAAATAGGCACTGGGTTATCTGACACAAATGGCTTTGGCATTCATACATGGACATATGGCACAAGGACTTGGTCAAGTACCTAAAAATATAGAGTAAAACAACCTGTACAGCCCCCTAGCCTGTAACGCTTCACACAAGCAGTAGAAACTAGCCGAGATAGTGTGTGTTCATTAAAAACAATTTCTTACATATAAGGCTGTCAGGTCAGTGAGAAAATCAGGGTGTATCCCATGCACCATTTGCAGTTTGTTGGAGCTTAGCTGGCATTCAATTTCAATTCCCTCAAGTTACTGAATATAGGAGAGCGGCACACACTGACAGGTACAAGTTACTCCAGCGACAGACGCTAATTAGCAAGTGCAGGAGTAATGGGAGAGCCAAGCTCTCTCTCTGGCAGAGAGACAGTGATGGCAACTGAGGCAGGGTCATCTCTTTAAGTGTCTCACTTCCTATTAGACAGGAGATCTCTGGCACATGCCCCATCACAACCCATACAGAGTGATGTCGGCGACAGAGAAAGGATCCTGTCACATCCTGTAGTTTTCAAACAGAGTCTCTCTTTTGCATACTGCATACAACCCAACCCACTCAACTGCATTCGCTCACTGCGCGCGGCCCTCCATTGACAGAAAGGGAGGGAGGGCAATAGAAAATAATGGCACATGATGTGTTTATGTGTTTTGATGGGAACTCGAGGGAAAGTCTTAGAAAGAAGATGATGGACTCATCTTCTGCTCAGCGAGGCTTTGACATTCTGTAGGGGACGCTGGAAATAGTCTCCAGGTTGATGGATAGGTGGAGTGGGATTACCCGCCAGACTCATCTCCTACCCGCCGTCTGGCCCGACTCCTGGAAAAAGACACAAAAACACAGTGCGTATAATGTCAGGCTGCTCACCGTGGGAGGGGTTATTAGCTTTGCAAAATAATAAAACACTGCAGGCTGGTCACAATAACCAAACAGCTAACCCAATAACAAAGGTAGGCAGAGGTAAGATTTGGCCTCACATGAAGATTACTAATAATGCATTACTATAGTAATGAAAGAGAGTGAACTTATCATTAAATAAACACCAATAGGAAGCTGTGTTTTCAAGGATGCTACAACCTTCAAGTCTCTCTCCATCTAAACATCCTCTCTGTATCACAAGTACTGAACTTCTAATGCCTCTGCTCACTCGTAGCCCCTATGGACCACCCCACTGCTAGCACAGCGAAATAAATTGTTCTCCCTGCATCATTAAACAGTTTGAATTAACTTGGGTGGAATTTAATTATGTCACACATGAAGCTCTCCTACTTGAAGCTTTTAAAAGCAATATAGTTGTCTATATGCTTGGAGGTTCAGCTTTTAGATACATTATTCAGCTCGGTCAGCTGTATCTGCATGCAGCTGGACTTCTAAATGAAAACAGTGGACTAGCCCATCAGGACAGCTCTTTTAATTCCTGTTTCCTGGTGAGGTATCCAACATAAATGCCACGAGAGGGGGAAGTAATCATGGCAGTGGAAATTCTGCTCATGCTCTGTTTTTAAGACCTTAGCTGTACTTGCCTAAACTGGTCATAAATCTTTTGATTTCTATAACGTGAGCAGCTTTGACTCCGTACATGTGTATTCTCATGTTTGAAGCACTCACTATGTCTTATATTTCATCACAGGAAATACAAAAGTAGTTGTGTTAGTGAGCTTCTCCTACCTCCTAATTGACACTCATTATGATCCCTTTATTACATTTTACACATGACAGGCTGGTGTGATGTGGATAAATCCTAAGTGAAACCCTGAGGGCATCGCTAACAGCTTCAAAATGTCAAAGCTAAAACTGAAAGAGTAATAAAGTCTGTCATTCTAAATGATAGGAATCTTTGCAAATTGCAAAGCTTGCAGAAGAATATCTGTTTTACGGAGCAGCGCCACATTTGAAAACACAGTCTGGCTTCCATTTGCTCCCTGTCAAGAGGGTAATCCGACTTGCCAACTTATCCATCACCCAAATGAACACAGCGCAATTTTCACACATGCATTTTCTCATCAGATTCAAATCTACCCCAGCGTGCCCCTGGAGAGATCTGAGGACCTGTATTTTCAAAGAAGACTCATGCTTGCTGTTGAGTCCAGAGGTGAAATAAAAAGACATTGGATGAACATCTACAGTACGATAATTTAGAATCTTACAAAATAACAGGAACAACCACCTTGATAAGATTTTTTTTTAACTCTAGCAATCAAAAAGTAAACTCCAACTCGAGTGTTTAACAATCAGCTTCTCTCTGTCTCAGAATCCAAAGCAGCCATGGCAGGGCAGAACCATTCCTCCACTCCAACACCTGAGACACAAGCTGATGGACAGATTCATTTACAGCAGGTACACGAGATTGCACACTAATTTACTCGGGCTATAGGAGATTGTTCACGTGAAAGATACCGCGGCACGGTGGATCCAATCTAATGAACCGTTGTAAATCCACACTGTGCCCATTTCTTTCCTCATTTCCATTGAAATGTGAGTCCCATATTCCATTCCCACCGTCTGTAACTTCCCACTTTTTTTATTTTTATTTATAAACTTGTAGAACATCACACCTAAAAAACAGCAGGCCTGCGGTTTCTTGACACAGACAGAAACAACAGAGACAACAACAATCAGAGTAACTATCAAAGACAAACACTGGGCATTAAATGAAATGTTTGGGAATAACCTTGGAGAAGTATTTCGAGATAATGAGGAAGCAGCTAAACCTTGGTGATACTTAAAGATCATTACCAGATGATCAAACACACCATGACAATTTCTCCGTGTAAGAAGGGATAATTATGAAGTAGAATATATACTACTTATAGTGGATGCACAGATCTGCTTTTATGGATGCATTTACATATCAGCAAATGCCTCAATATAAAGTAGAGGGCTGCAATGGAAATAGGATCCCCTGGGAAATGCAGGACACAAATGGTGGGGTGTGATATATATTTAAATAGCCGTTAGCATCATCAGCGTGGGCTGAAATATAAGAGGCTATTATTATTAGGCTTAACCATGCGTGTAAATACACAGCCTTCAAGTAAACTGTGTGGTGTATGCCTCCAAATACGCCACCAAATAAAGTTAACCATTGCATTTTTTTCTCCCTTTCTCCAGCCCCATCTTTTAAAAACGAGTTGTTGATTAATAAATACAAACATAAGGGCATCTGATTTGTATAATGTTGCTAAGGCTGACATATCAGAGTATGTATGTGCAGAGTTTGACACTAGAAGGGAAAGTTTTTCTGTGCTGATTTTAAGGGGCGGGGCCTACAAGCACGATTTGTGACATCATAAATAATTTGGACGTCCAGCCTGTTGCACTATACTACTATTTCTACAGTGTGATGTAGAAACTTGAAGCCACCAGCGCACATCCACTGAGAACAGACTTCACAGTGAAGTAGGAGACATCTTGTGTCCAGCAGGAAAACTTTAGAAAACTGTAAAAATTTGCATATTCATAGATTCTGGGACTTTTAATGAGGTAGAAGGAATAAATGTCTTTTCAAGGATTTTAATGTGGAAATTGTACTTCTATGTGGGGAAGAAATATAAGACACACACTATTGTCCGAAGAAGGCTATTTTTATTCATGTCCAAATACATGTCTGCAGGGGATCTGTTATGTCTTCTAAAGCTGTTATTAAAAGAGTAAGTTTGCTGTCTTTGTTAGCTGAGTGAAGCTAACCAACTGCTAAGAGAAAACAGTGTTTGTCAGGCTGGGAAAAAAGACACTGCCTCAGTGATAATTCACATAGGTCACAATCTATAACAATGATCACTATGAATGATGCAGTAATGCTGTAGCTCTTGCTACAGGCCCCTCTACTTTGTCCCAATAACAATAAGCCAGAGTGAGGTGTCTGACAGGTCCTTCTGTTCCCACTCCAGTGTTATTCCAGAGCAGCAGCATACATCACACTCTAAAAATCTTACACCTTTATCAGCTGTTTTTCTATGGTTGAGGTACCCCACCCTCGACCTCTCTCCAAAAGCAGCCTACAGCCCCCTGGTGTTAATTATAAGACTTTTTCCCCCTGGAGCCTGGGTGGGACGTGGAAGTGCATTAATCTTGATTCTTCACTTTAGTCTAAAGGATCGTTTGAAGAGACTCCTGTGGTAAGCCCCAAAGGCGACGTGACTCAGTGCCAGGAGAAAGGTAGAAGGAGGGGAAAAAGAAAGAGTTTATTCTCCGCTCACACCGGAATGCCGGCCACCTCGAAATACAAGTCAATCATTTACCCTTTACCACTTACATCTTCAGTATGTTAATCTGGATGAATATTATAGGAGTCACACAGGAGGACAACCCAAGCGACCACCCTCCACCTGTGCTGTGAACTGATGCAGCATGAAGGGGACTGGGACATGTTTACATCGACGAGTTTATACTCATCCTTATTTCATTGCACACTTAAGCCCATCATGGGCATCCAAAAGGTCAATGGCGCACTTGGCAATGACACCACAATCATCAGTCACAATCTTTTCTTTTTTTTTTTCTTTTTTGCATTAATTTTTAACAATGTAGAATAATGTTTCATGATGTGTAAAAATAGTGTGGTACCCATTATGACCCATTATGATAGCAATATGCCATTGCTGCCTGATGCACAATTACTGATCACCCTACTGCGTCTCTACACCTTGTTGTTGCCAATGTCGTAGATTTTAAAATGGAGCGATGGAAATGACACAGACAATCGAGTAATTGCTTACATTAAAACACCACACCACAGACAAACAAAGAGGAAAAAAGCCATAAGTGATTAACATTGACCTGGATACACAGGTCACCTGAAATAATGTCCAACCAGAGCAAATGAGAGCAAAAACATTATTTCTAGCCGACTGACAGGATGAATATTCACTAATACACCACGCATTAATTGTGTCACATGCATCAGCTGCATGTGACACAATTAAACAATCAACCCCGATGTATTAGTTGAAGGAATGAAATTCTCAAGTCAAGTCTTATCAAATGTGTTTCAACAGCATCATTTCTGTGCACTTGATTTTTAACGGCTTGTTCCGCATGTTTGATCATTGTCCTCCTTACCTAAAAAAACCACTAAACGACGTGAGCAATTATTAAGCACGCAGAGTAGTGCATGTTTACGCTCCTTTCATATGAGCATGTGCAACTTCTTCTGCAGTTTTACAATAATGTGTGCACACATCAGAAAGCTACACATAAAAGTTATCTTGCCGTTCAGTAAGCAACATGTTTAGCATATTCTCATCACAGTAGGTGAGGCTGTTCAGTATTTAGATCCGTGCCATCTGTAAATGATCTGGTGCTGAACATATTCTCTTTGGTAGCTATCCTTTTTAAACAATAAGCTGGGATCCATCTAGAAACGCCAGCTCCTACTGATGACAACTGGACTAATGTAGGTTTAAAAACTATATGCCACACATTGTTGGTTATGGTGAGTGGAACATTTAGAATGTGCAAGGTTCTTGAATTCTTAAATTTTACGTCTGTTCAGAAAGAGTGTTTTGGTTCTTCAGACACGCTGGGTAGGTGGGGAAACAACCTGAGTGAAGGATATTAAGTGATGCTAATATGTTATGACAAAGGCCATGGCCTGGTGACCACAGACAAAGCAAAGCAGGTCGTCACCATGGAGCTCTCAATTGCCCGCTACAACAGTGCAAAACAACGTATATCTGCTGCATTAACTCTGCTGTGGGGTCACAGGTGTTGCTGGGTATGCTTGCATCTATATTTTGCAACATTTAACAATACTACTGGTTATCATAGAGACTACAAATCCATAGCAGCCTTTTCCTTTTATGTATCAGTTTTCATTG